AGCAAATCACGACAATTTTGTTAAGAATTACAGTGCACACTTTCTTCTTTTGTGTCTAATAGTTTTTTTTAAGATTGGTCCAAAAAATCATAGTAAAGAAACGAAAGCAGGTATTTAAAGTACAGAAAAAAAATATTAAAAGGACTATGTTCTCTTTGACGTACGTCATAGGTCAAGTAGAAGTGGGAACTTTTATAAAGCTACACCTAATTGACTATTATATGAGTTATTATAAAATATGAAAATAATTCCAGCTTACGTTTATATGGAAAAAATCTGATTTATTTCTTCCGTCACGGGTTGGACAAAAAAATAACCTGCTTTTTGGAGCAGATATATTTTACGGAAACTCTGGGAATTTATTTCAGTTTTCTGTGTGAACTTGATCTCTTATAATAAAACAAAGCACCAGGGAAACAAACAAAGCAAAAACTAAAAAAGAATTATGGCTTTATTATACAAAAAATCCGAATTTCCTCTGTCTGTGTGTGTGTACAGTTTCCTAAGTGAAAACACTATCAGCTGATTGCCAAAAAATGCCTACAGCTGAGATCACCTGTTTTTTGGCATTTGCTCTTATCTTTTACAATTTCTTTCATTTATATTATAATTTCCTCCATTTCTATTACAATTTATTCAAAATACACTAACACATTGAACCAAAAAGCACCAATACACTAACCAAAGCACACCTACAGCCTGCCAAATACACACCTACAGCCTGCCAGGAAAAACGGAGAGAAGAAGAGTTACTTTACTTATGAAACGGGTGGGACAACGTTTGTCACGGGTAGGCCACGTACGAATTTTTATATGAAAAGGAGCTTTTAGTGGTGTCCATATAGTTATAAAGATTAGTTATCAAAAAATATAAGAAGCCATNTACGGAAACTCTGGGAATTTATTTCAGTTTTCTGTGTGAACTTGATCTCTTATAATAAAACAAAGCACCAGGAAAACAAACAAAGCAAAAACTAAAAAAGAATTATGGCTTTATTATACAAAAAATCCGAATTTCCTCTGTCTGTGTGTGTGTACAGTTTCCTAAGTGAAAACACTATCAGCTGATTGCCAAAAAATGCCTACAGCTGAGATCACCTGTTTTTTGGCATTTGCTCTTATCTTTTACAATTTCTTTCATTTATATTATAATTTCCTCCATTTCTATTACAATTTATTCAAAATACACTAACACATTGAACCAAAAAGCACCAATACACTAACCAAAGCACACCTACAGCCTGCCAAATACACACCTACAGCCTGCCAGGAAAAACGGAGAGAAGAAGAGTTACTTTACTTATGAAACGGGTGGGACAACGTTTGTCACGGGTAGGCCACGTACGAATTTTTATATGAAAAGGAGCTTTTAGTGGTGTCCATATATAAAGATTAGTTATCAAAAAATATAAGAAGCCATGTAGGGGTTAAATTCACTCACGTTTTATCTTAGGATGGTGCCTTTTATATAGAAGAAAATGCTTAGCACCGTCAGCCAAAAAAATTATTAAAAATGAACGCGATTTCCTAGCGTCTTGAATTTTTATTTTTTTTTTATTTAATGGACTACAAAACTGCATACCTAAAAATTCTGAACAAAAAGGTTACAATTTTTGGGTGTAATTGTTAAGGTTTCTTGAATTTTTATAATTTTTGTAAGAAGTTTGAAATGTGGATTTATGTGGTTCTGGTTAGGTAATGTAAAGACTTATATAAAAAAAAGACTATAAACATTAGATTAACAAAATAAAAACCAAAACTGGTCAAAATGTAACTTAACTTAATCAGCTGACCACAATGGTATATAGATAATGGACGAGTCCGCGCATCCCCCTCCTCCCCTGCGTTCACCTCAGAATAAAGCTTATCGGCCCTGTAAACCTACCTCTGACACCTGTCCCACACATAGCTGTCACGGGTGGAACATGCTTCTCTGTTAAATTATTCTTATCTAACTACGTGGAAACGGCAATGCAATTGTGGTAAATATTTGCAATGAATTTCGAACATTATGTAACAAACACGAAATACAACCTTAACTTCTGTAATTAAATATAACAACTTTTAGATTTTTTGTCACCGGTGGGACAAGACCAATAAGGCTGAATAATAACTCATAATATAAATAAAGCAGTCACACAATTTGATATGTAACATAATTTTATTAAAACACTTGAATTATGAATTACACATTATTTCACAGTGCATTCAACACAACCTACTTTAAACTCAATCAAAAAATTTACTTAGAACTTGATTTCAAAACGTAAAAAAGGTAATTAAAATGCATTTAAAGCTTTAATTTGTTATTTTTTTGGTTGATTCAAGATTCTTACAAATGTCTTATCCACACGTTTGTTAGTTTTATAAAGAAAATAATTTTTGCACTGAGGTCCACTTTCCCATGGAACCTCCCAACTGTCAACAGAGACGTGCCAAGACGCGTATGCTCTGACAGCTTGTGGGATGACAGGAGATACTTCGTTTTGTCCTCTTTCACCACCAGAGCCATTCGCTTTGCTCCTCTATTCAATACCGAGAAGGCAGAACAGACGTAACCCTTGTTTTTACCGATAATATCGATGTCGTCGGCATACGCCAAGAATTTTACGCTCTTGTAAAGTTTGGTGCCTTAGTGGTTCAGTTCTGCGGCTCTTAAACATCAGATTAAAGAATTCACATTAAAAGGAGTCCCCTTGTCTGAAACCTCGTCTGGTATCAAACGTCTCGGAGAGGTCCTTCCCTATTCTGTTGGAGCTGGTGGCATTACTCAACGTCATTTTACACAGCCGTATTAGTTTCGGGGGGAGACCAAATTCAGACATCGCGGCATAAAGACAACTTCTCTTCGTACTGTCGAAAATGGCTTTGATGATGACAAATAGATGGTGTGTGTCGATCCTATAGCGATAGATTTGGCGTATGGTGAATACCTGATCTATTGTGGATTTGCCAGGCCTAAAGCCATACTGATAAGGTCCAATCAGTTCGTTGACGGTGGTCTTCAGTCTTTCGCACAAACACTCAATTAGACCTTATAACCGATGCTTAGAAGGCTGATTCCGCGGTAATTGGCACGAATGGCGGGATCGCCTTTCTTGTGGATTGGCCAGAGCAGCATTCCAGTCGTCGGACATGCGTTCATCTGACCATATTCTGCATACGAGCTGATGCGTGCACCTCATCAGCTCCTCGCCACCGTACCTGAATAGCTAGGCTGGCAAGCCGTGAGCTCCAGCAGGTTTGTTGTTTTTCAGCCGCGTAATCGTACCTCGCCATGGTCAGGCGGTGAGACAGTTACTCCATCATCATCGACTGGAGACTCGGGCTCGTCTTCTTCACTACTACAGTAGATTGCAAAAGTGTTCCCTCCACAATTTAAGTACATTCTGGAGATCTGTCACCAGGTCGCCATTGTTGTTCTTACAGGAGTTCGCCCTGGTCTTGAAACCTTCCGTAAGTCGCCTAATCCTCTGGTAGAATTTTCGGGCGTTTTTCCTGTTGGCCAGCATCTCAAGCTCTTCGCACTCACGTACTTCGGCCTCTCTTTTTTTATTGCGGAAAAAAAGGCCTCGCTTCCTTCTTCAGATTCCTAACAGTCCCACATGGCTCGCGTTGCGCCCGATCGCAGCGTGGCCCTATAGGCGGCGTCTTTTTTCTCTGCGGTTTCTTGACATTCCTCATCGTACCAGTTGTTCTTTCGGGCTCGCTGAAATCCAACTATTTCTTCGGCGGCGGTACTTAATAATCGGGAAATGTGGTTCCACTGCTCGCGTATGTCGGATTGTTGAAGAGTGCTCTCAGAGAGCAGGTGTGTGAGTCGAGTGGGGCGAATAAATTGGCCGTCTGTTGTGATTGCAGCTTTTCGACGTTAAGCTTTCCTTGCATTGTTGGGCGCACATTTTTGCTGCACAGAGGCGGGTGCGAATCTTGGCTACAATAAGATAGTGGTCCGAGTCGGGGGTACGTACGTCGAAAATGCTTGAAGCATGCCTTCCGTCTATCACAACATGATCAATTTGGTTTCTCGTTTTTCGATCTGGAGACAAATGAACTATTAAAATATGGGTGTCAATCGTAATGGGGTTGAAAAGGCTTTATTTCTGAAATATATTAAGGAGGGTTGCCACGTATTCTGTAGGCTGCATTCAAATTATTTAATTGTTGTTAATTGAATTTTTAAAGGATGGATATCAATCGAAAAGGGTTTGAAAAGACTTTCAGGTAGGTTTTGCAATTCACTTCCGAGTGAATTTAAACCAAATTCGCTTCGAAGTCAATTAAACATTGTACAAATTTACTCGAAAATAAATTGTATAACCAGGAAAATAAAGACCTTGCCTTTTTTAAAATTAGAAACTTTTTATACATTTAAAATTTGATAATATTAAAAACCTACTATGCGAAACGGCTGCACGAATTTAGAAGAAATATGACACTCGAATCGCTTATACATTAAAATTCTATCTTGGGCGTTTTAACGCCGTGTGGGTTCACTAGTATATAATGTATTAACATAACTAAGGTGTACACACTTTCATATAAGACATTTCGTTTTTGTTTAAACGTCGTAAAGTGATTTTATTTAACTTACGCTGTATGTATGTACATATGTATGTAAGTATGTTTGTTAGGGGCAAATCTTGCAATAAATTTTTAATCAACTTCCCGATAACGTAGAGACTTGAGACTTCACAGTTGGCTCAAAACCCGATAACAATGCAATATGAAAATTTAGTTAATCCGATAGGTGGCGCAGGAGTCGAGATATTTGAAAAACCCATACTTATACTAGTCCGATTTGGTTCATATTTAGAACGTATATTAAATACATGAAAATGAATAACTCCACTAAAAAATTCTGCCAATAGGTGGCGCAAGGGTCTATATATTTGGTAAACCAGTATTTATGGTCCATTTTCGTTTATTTTTAGAAAGTTTGCTCTAAAAATATTTATTTTCACTATTAACTTATTTGTATTAAATATTTTTCTTTATAGATTAAAACATGCCAATTTGTTCATATCAAGATATCCTGTTAATATAGCGCGTTATATGATGTTAAAACATCCCAAGGAGAAGGCCAACCCGAAAAGGTAACTATGTAAAAATGGACATTATAAAAACATAGTACATACATACATGCTCTTGGAAAGAGAACTAGTTGCGTTAAAAATGTCCACAGACGGTATATGAACATATCGCAAGTTTAATGATAGAGAATAATTCAAAATTGGCGAAGATATGCATGTATCATTTCAACCGTTTTTTTTGTATACCAATTATAGTCAAAGATGCGAATAGACCTTCACCTACATGTTTAATGGGTGAAATCTATTTGATATGAAATTTAACGTCTTAGTAAATATTTCGCATGGGTTGGCTAAAAAATGCTGGCGAGGATATTTTTAATTAAATATTCAAAAATTATTACTTTTTTTTTTAATTTTGCACTCCTATATAATGTGAACACGTTGGTTTTGTCTTATTCTCATACGGATTGCAACTGCTCTTTATTTCATATTTAATAACATATACAATAAATTTCTTAGTGAGAGATGTAAAGAGTTTAGAGATTGCTCTCTATATAAACTGTTATACAACATATTCCCCTTTAATCGCCTCCCTACATTAGTAAATACGGAATTAGGTACCAAAGAGACAGATTCGTATATGTGTACATAGATATTTATGTATGTATGTATTTAGCTTAGTGAATATTTTCAAATAAATGAGAGTATTAAAAAAAAAGAACTTAATCAGCACGTTTGCGAAGCCATTTCGAGTTTCTACGATATACAGCACCATCTTCAAGGCTTTATCCAATATAGCAAATACCCGGCGTGCTTCGCGACACCTCGTGAGTAATTTTGCATCAAAGTTAAGGAGAAACCGTATTGAAACTCTAATGGGAAAACCTCTTCAGGGGAAGAATTTTGCATTTATTAGTATCCATAATTCATCTGTCCGGCCATTGTAACCCTAGTACATATGTATGTACTCCCATGCCCACCTATAGTTCATACACTTGGAAATATTTCTACTTCAAGATTGTATGAACTAAAATTGTGAAGTGTATGAGCAAAAGGTGGGCAGGGTAGTACATATAATGTGTTGTAATCTATTGGCAATAATAATAAGAGTTAAGATCTATCTTCACAAATCAGTGCCGTATCAGTTCAGTTCAGCCAATCAGCATCGATCAGTGATACCAATTCACACACATCCGTAGTAGTTATGTCGTCCGGTACTTGCAGTAAAATGAAGTTCATTGAAACCAAGATGACTTGTTTTACTAATGATCAATCAAATTGTATAGTTCTGGATAATTCCGGACCAACTCGATTAATTTTCCCTCCATATCAAACAAAACTTGCAATAGAATACCGTCAGCTCGTCAGTGAGGAAACAAATTTTTGCCGAGTGAACTACACTCTAAAAAATTTTTGTTTAAATTTAAGCATATTAAAAAAGGTAACCAGTTTCCTTTCATTTGCACACCGTGTTAATCAATTTAAATACTGCTTTTTAACTTTTACTTCCATATGTGTGGAGTAGAACAAATTTGAAATTTGTTTGTTGAATTCTAAACACTTAAGGCCAAATTCACAGTACGTAGTTAACTCAGAATCGACAGTTAACTACAGGTTTTCAGTACAGCACTGTGAATTTGTCCCTTAGGGCCGTTAATTTAACTATTTTAAAGTATAGTTAAATCATTAGTTAAACTAAACTACAAAAATTTCTATAGATTTTTCTTAGTGTTCCCAATTACACAGTTTACACATAAAATGTTTAAAATTTGCTCTAAAAGTTTTTTGTTTAAAGTAACGCATATTAAGAGAGGTTACCAGTTTCTTCTCCTAATGTGCGCAAATTTAGACACTGTGTTAATAAAATTAAACACTGCTTGTTTACTTTTGCATACCAAATTTGTCGCGTAGAGAAAAATTATACACAAAATGTACATAATTTTTATTCTTAGTAGGGAATGTATTGANTTAAAAAAGGTAACCAGTTTCCTTTCATTTGCACACCGTGTTAATCAATTTAAATACTGCTTTTTAACTTTTACTTCCATATGTGTGGAGTAGAAAAAATTTGAAATTTGTTCGTTGAATTCTAAACACTTAAGGCCAAATTCACAGTACGTAGTTAACTCAGAATCGACAGTTAACTACAGGTTTTCAGTACAGCACTGTGAATTTGTCCCTTAGGGCCGTTAATTTAACTATTTTAAAGTATAGTTAAATCATTAGTTAAACTAAACTACAAAAATTTCTATAGACTTTTCTTAGTGTTCCCAATTACACAGTTTACACATAAAATGTTTAAAATTTGCTCTAAAAGTTTTTTGTTTAAAGTAACGCATATTAAGAGAGGTTACCAGTTTCTTCTCCTAATGTGCGCAAATTTAGACACTGTGTTAATAAAATTAAACACTGCTTGTTTACTTTTGCATACCAAATTTGTCGCGTAGAGAAAAATTACACACAAGATGTACATAATTTTTATTCTTAGTAGGGAATGTATTGTTGCGTTAAAAACGTTTGCAATTTTAAACATTTCATGTGTATATTTTAAACATCTCATGTTCAAAAATCCAGTCTTGAACATCTTATGCGTATACTTACACAAATTTTGTTTGGAAATAAACACTTTTCAGTAGCAGTTTAACAAGCAGTTTTTAGAGTGTATAACAAAATTTCGGAACGAACACTGAAGCAGCACTGACAGTAAAAATGGCACTGTGCCGGACGGTCTGAGCAACTCTATTTGGGACTGGGACAACGATATTATATTTTTCACTGACACTGATAGGTATGGCACTGATATGTGTAGATAGTAGGGCTATGCGATTATTCGATTACTCGAGCAAGTTGGTTAATCAATTATTCGGTTAATCAATTACTCGAGTAATCAAGATTTTGATTACTCAAAACGATGATTAATCGAGTTACTTGAAATATGATTACTCAAAAAAAATAATTTTGCTCGTTAAAAGAGTTTGCTTTGGAAAATGCTTATTTTCTTTTTTACATTCATACAATTTTGGAAAACAGAAACGTTGTTTTCAAGGTACCAAGGAACTTCAACTACTTTATACANCAAAACGATGATTAATCGAGTTACTTGAAATATGATTACTCAAAAAAAATAATTTTGCTCGTTAAAAGAGTTTGCTTTGGAAAATGCTTATTTTCTTTTTTACATTCATACAATTTTGGAAAACAGAAACGTTGTTTTCAAAGTACCAAGGAACTTCAACTACTTTATACATATGTAAAGAGTTGAAATGTTGATTACTCATTTTACTCGAAATGTTGATTAATCATAAAGCAACTTATGGTGCATTTACATGGTATGAATCTGTTCGTAAGCCGTATGAATTTTCCTATAAAAGAAGCACCAACTCTATGAAGAAATGAATGAAAGCGATATATATTTAACAATTTTGACTTGTATACTTGACAATATTTTTTTTGTAAACAACAACTAAAAAAAAAGTAAGAAAGTTTAAGTTCGGGCGGAGCCGAACATTAAATACCCGGCGCAAATATTAAATATATGATTTTCACCTTTCCGAAAGCTACCGCATCAATTTTGAGTAAATTAGCGTCCTTAAATTTCGAAATATTGACGTTTCAAGCATTTCTAAAATTTACCGTTATATGAAAAGCCATAATTTTATCCGATTTCAATAATTTTCATCGTTTTGCTTTTATGTAGCAAGACAATAAAAATACCGAGTTTGGTACAAATTGGTAGAACGGTTACCGAGATACATATATGTGATCATAAGTGGGCGGTGCCACGCCCATTTTTCAAAATTT